GGGGCCGACAAGGCTTTTAGTGCTTGGGGAAGTTAGAAGCTTTCCGGTTAATGTTTCGGGTGTTGGCTGCGCGAAATTGTTGCGTTTCAACAGGCAGCCGAGCTCACGGCCGGCTTGCCTTCAGGGTTTCTGCGCTCTCCAGTTCACAAGAATGCCACCGGCACAATTCCTGCCACTGCTTCCCGCATGCGTTTCTTAGACCGTGAACATCCCTGACCTTGTTGCCAAATGGCTCTGACCAGGTCCGACACTCCAAAATTGGTTTGCCCAATTCTTGGATCGATTTCTGCCCAGAGGAGACTCCTAGGAAGTGCTATCAGCCGACAATCTTGGAACGTGACTATGGTCAGTGTCAGTATTTCTGCGTCATTCCTGCCTCGGCTCCTTATTATTATACGACGACTACTACCGCGACATTGATTCCTACGGTGATGAGTATATCAAGCATGCACCCAGACAACCTGAACAGATAGCCATTCCTGTAGCTCAGCCTCGCCCGAACAATTCCCCAGATCGGGCTGACCCTGAGATGGCTCCTCAATCCTTAGCCCACAGATGCCCACAGCCTTCCGGCAGAATGTAGTTTTCGAACAAGGATGAGTGGCATAGAAGCTGGTTGGGGTGCGATCGACGTGGGCTTCAGTGCCCTAGATGCTCGGCGGCCTTAGGCATATGTTTTTGTTACATTTTAGTTGTGGTCACATCGTTTCACACAAGAGTTATGCTTTGGGCCCTGCCGTCTTGAGCCGTGATTACCCGCGCTCTGCCGTACTGTCTTAGTTCTTTTGGGGGTGTGGCCCAGCCTGGCGTACCAATTTGCCGCTTGCACCTTCTGTCATGTGTCAAGGCTTTAGAATGTCGGGCTTGTAGTTTTGTTTGAATTATGGGGTGCTTGTTTTGTCAGTGGCAGAAGTCAACCAATACAAGATAATATCTTCCAGCCCAGTTTGTCCTTCGTGTCACCTAGACCTAGAAGGGCGTAGACACATAACATGCCCTGTACATACGTACAACAAACTACTTGACTAGCAACCAAGCAAGCAAGCAAGCGAGTAACAGGCCAGACAACCAAACAACCAAGCAACCCAGCAAACAAAACAGCAGAAACAACAAACAACCAAACGAACAAGCACAAAACACACACACACAACCACAAAGGTGCCAAACCACACAACCACGCAACCCCGCTTACACACGCACGCAAACACGAAAAAACAAACAACAAAACACACAACCAACAGCAAATAAACATACACACGCAAACAAGAAAAACAAAACAACAACGACAACAACAACAACAACAACCGCAACAACCACGACAACCACAACAACAACCACAACCACAACAACCACAACAACCACAACAACCACAACAACCACAACCACAACAAGCACAACCACAACCAGCACAACCACCACCACCACCACCACCACCACCACAACCACAACACCAACACCAACACCAACACCAACACCAACACCACCAACACCACCAACACCACCAACACAACCACCGACACCAACAACACCAACAACACCACCAACACCACCAACAACACCAACAACAACAACAACAAAAACCACAACAACCACAAACACAAACACAAGAACAAAAGCAAAAACAACAACAATCAAACAAACACACAAACAAACAAATAAACAAACAAAAGCAGAAACAAACACCGGACAACAGACAGAGAGAAACAGAGCGAGGCAGACAGACAGGGACAGCGAGACGGACAGACAGACAAACGGGTAGACAGACAGAGACACTGACAGAAGCACAGACACAGACACAAAGCGACATTGGAAAATGCCGAGGAGGGGACACCGGGAAGCCGGTCCGTGGGGCGCGCTGGCATGCAAGCGGGAGACGGTAGCGATATCGGCTGCTTGGCTTGAGCTCGAGGACCGTGGGGAGGGTCGAGAGAAAAGCGGGTACAGGATGTGGGATACAGGATGGATGGCATGGGACTGCGTTTGCAAAAGTTTGCGGAAGGCTTTAGAAGTTTGACGTTGCGGGACTGGGACGTCTTCCGACATGCTGCTGGCAGGGCGTGCATCTTCAGTCAAGTGAAAATCCACCCTAAACCCTAAACTCCTTGAACACGCAAACAAAATGTTCTCTAGGTCATGGAGTCCATCAGACTCTCTACACCGACGCGTGCGCCGAGTGGCCTCTGTTCCAGGTTGAAGTCGAGTTTCGTGGAGTGGGGAGAGATGGGGAGAGCGACCGTCGCGTGTACCTTAACGCGTAACCGCCTGCAGTGCTGAAAAAGCCTGGGGACGCTGGCTTTGAGGTACTCCGGAGAGCGGCTCATTGCTTGCAAGCGCCGCGGTGGCAAGAGAGCGCTTAGGTTTTTACAGGCTGGCATGTGAGTTCAAGACCAAAGACACAGTAGCAGGTAGAGGTCCGGAACTGAAGCCAGCTGAATTCGCTCTATGCCTTTATTTTCGCTGATCGATGAAGCTGCCATCAACCAGCGAGCATTCGGATTGGCTGCACAATCCATTGCCGCTTCGACACGCAACACCAGCCACTTGAACCCCAATACACCCCATCCATGAAGCCCCCTGCCATAACTTTGGAAAGGCAAAGCCTCAACCTAGCCGATAACCAGATACTATGCCATCCAAGGGGAAAATTGCAGACACGCGCAGAGATCTTCGATGAGCCGGGTCCACAGTGGCACAGGGACAGTTGCTGCACGTTCCACGTTACAATTTCGAGAGACACTCAGACACAAAGAGTTCTAGTGAGCAGGTGAACGGTACTTTTTGTGATGCTTAAGCTTCTTGCACCTGAGCCAGCAAACCAGTACAACCTGCGATACTTTGGGCAGTGTCGATTGCTTGGGTGCCTGACATTGCGTGTCTTGATGTGCTAGCTAAAGAGAATGCTGGGTTTCGTTTGTTTACAATGCATGTCCGATCACGCTGGATTCAGCATTTGGAGTCTTCGGTTTAGGAGTTCCGATTGGAGAGTTGAGCACTCATCAGACTCGAGCTTCAGTCTCACGTTCACGCTGTGACCCCCAAGCCCTGAGGTACCACATTCGCGGGCAGGCAGGCCCCAGCTCAGGCTGTAGGATTGCACTGCCGTATATCTCATCAACTCCAGGGGTTGGGCAAGGCGTCAAAGTTGTGAAGTGCGAGATTCCGCGAGACATGCTGGTATCCGAGAGACGCCGGGAGGTTTCATCGAAAAGCCTCAACACCCAGACCTCATCTTCTTCAACTGCAAGAGCTTGAGCCCTGAAAGCTAAATCCGGAACGACATTGGCCCAATTGGCTCCCTTCCATGGGCCACCCGGCCCTTTGAGGCTTCAGGATCGGGTGTAGAGCCTCAGTGACCGCATGGCTTGCTGGTTTGGCTGCACTAAGCAACCTATGCTCAACTGCCATGACATTCCTCGCGAATCCGGCAAAATCATCGATATTGAGCTCCAAGTCGCATGCCTTTCAGGTCTGCAAGCCTTCCAGGGTCTCACCTTTACGGGTTGGATCCCAAGCTGGTTGCAGGCAGTACCCGAGGACGAGCCGTTCTTTGACTTCGACAACCTTCGATTTTCCTGGCCTTTTGCAAGGCAATGGCGCTGCGAACATGTTTTAACTTCCAACTCCTTAACCCATCACATCCCATCACTGTATCAGTTGCAAGTCTTTCGAGCTCCGGGCCGGCCTGGGTCGCGGGATTCTCACAACGGTTCCTCAATAAGAGAACTTAGGTAAGGTCGGTTGGGGAAGAATCGTGCTACAGAGGTCGGCATGTTTCATAGTGCTGCACCCTCTTCGTCCATATAGGATGTAGTCAGCGTACAATTTTGTCTTGCACGTATCAATCTTCCATTATCGGTGAGGCCTTGCGTTTGTTGCAGTTGGGGGCGTCTGGTTCCGGTTTGGATTTCAAGAACTTCATTCAAACTGCATTTTGTTGTGTCAAACAAAAGCCTGCTGGTGTTGTTATGACAATTGAGGATCACACCCGAATTTCGAGAGGGGTGGGGTTTATGGACGTAGTGACTTTCCTAATTCTTTCGAGCTGCCTCCCTCCTCAGGAGGGCCGCTCGGGGTTTGGGTGCTCTTAGCTGTCTTAGCTGTGTGTTTGTGCATTTGGGCATTGGGCTTTTGCTGTGGGATGCGATCCGTTTGGAGAGCTCCCAAGCCCCAGGCTCGGCAAGCTCCGCCCACCAACTCGCTCGAGAGGTGGGCTTTGATCAGTTCGGCGACCATGCTTGGCTGGTCTACAGGGCCGAGAACAGGCTTCGCTGCGAGCACATGGAGCGGCTGCGTCGCATCCTCCACGACAAGCCCGAGCCGGGTACACCCAGGCGAGGCCCTGGAATGCTGTCTTTGCTGCAGCCACCCAGGATTCCGAGTTTTGGATGTCAAGCAGAGCGCTCCGGCCAGCTCGAGTCAGGGCAGTGGAGGAGGTGGTGCTGACAGCCCAACCAAGCGAGGGCCAAAAGACGGAGACGACCTCAGCGAAGGGCAATGTCTACGTGCTCAACAGGCGCGGTGCTTGCATCTGCGAAGGGTCAACCGCGGGAAGTGCGGCACCCAAAAGCCGCAAGGCCGGTGCAAGAACAAGCACTCCCACCAGCGCACCCACACCAGGCTCTTCAGTGTCCGCAGTCGCAGCAGCCAAAGCCACCAACACGGCCGAGACCGAAGCGGAAGAGGAAGCTGCCGGAGCCAGCTCAGGCTGCTGGGGCTGGCGGCAAAGGCCCCAAGCTGACTCCTGGGCGACCCAGGCCGACAGCTAGGGCCACCAAGAGCGGAGCGAAACCGGGGCAAAGCTTGGTGGACTTGCCGCCCCTCCAGCACACTTTGCCAGACTACCCCACGCTTGTGAAAGGCCCTCGCGACTATGGCACCTGGATGGAAAAGCCGCTCCGAACTATGTTGCCTGGCCTTGGGCGCTGGTGGTCTTTTTTGGGCCGGCTCTGCAAAAGGCAATATGGCGAATTTGCTGGTCAAGCACGGCTTCATCGCAAAGAAGCCACTGGGGCCCAGCTTATGGCCGCGAAGAGCATCGAGCTGTGGAGAATACAGATTTTCGGGAGGTGGGATTCCTCCACCGATCCCAACGACCCCCCAGAGATGTTATTTTGAACCTCTCTCCGGGGGGCAAGATTCATCAGTGCAGAACCGACCTATCTAACCCGCAGCAAGCCCTACACCCAAGGCACTGGAGATTTTGCTCCTGGCCTTTCGCTAGAGACAATGCTTTGTTCAGCTGGGTGGATGGCAATATGGCAGACGGTGCAAACGATGCTTCTTCAGGGCTTCGAGGTCGAGTTCGTCCGCTAGCATGTCGTCGGCTTCGTCAAAGTCTTCTGACTGACTCTTGTTCGGAGCAGTTCCTAAACACCTACGCCCGCCTCAGCGTGCGGGATCTCCATTTGGGTCGTTGGCGTCAAAGTCAGGTGGGTGTGATCCCGGCTCTCTTGAGAGTCTCCGACCGATTGGCAAGAAATGCGACATTACTACCAACGCATTGAAAAGAGAGATCGCGCATCGTATGTTCTGTTAATGGGGGTTGTTTGGGGAGCGGAGAGGCAATTGTCGTGTCAAACAGAAGCCTGCTGGTGTTGTGCAATTGCCACGCGTGGTCGGCGGGAAACCCTTTGATCCGTGGCCATTTTGGGTCAAGGATCACACCGGAATTTCGACCCACCCACCCGCTCCCGAGTTTGATCCCGGCTCTCTTGAGCTTTCAAGTATCCGACCGATTAGCAAGAGATGCGACTTTACGACCAACGGATTGAAAAGAGAGATCGCGCATCGTATGTTCTGTTAATGGGGGTTGTTTGGGGAGCGGATAGGCAATTGTCGTGTCAAACAGAAGCCTGCACATGCTGGTGTTGTTATGACAATTGCCACGCGTGGTCGGCGGGCAACCCCTTTGATCCGTGGCCATTTTGGGTCAAGGACACACCTGAATTTCGACCCACCCACCCGCTCCCGAGTTTGATCCCGGCTTTCTTGAGTTTTCGAATCTCCGACCGATTAGCAAGAGTTGCGACTTTACGACCAACGGAAGAGATCGCGCATCGCTTGTTCTGTTAATGGGGGTTACTTGGGGAGCTGATAGCAATTCTCGGTTGTTGCATTTTGTTGGGCTTGCGACTGCCGGGTATTTGTTTGGGCTTCCGAGATTAAGCCGCTCGATATCGATGTTGCAGTTTTGACAAGCTTCGGTGCACCAGCACGAACTGAGAAATTGGTATGGGAGTGTCAGTCGGAGCTTTTTCAGCCTTCGATTCATCGGTACGCACACCTGGCTTTGTCCTGTGGTTCAGTCTGCGCTGCCACGATGCAGGCCAGAAAAAAACAAGCCGGTGTCCCAACACACGCCTGGGGCTTGGAGACAGCCATGCTTGCTGGCAGTTGTTTGTTTGTCAGATCTGGTTTCCAATGGAAAGCAGGCTGCGCGCTCTGGAAATCGATACCGAAATTCTTCATTTCGGAAACCAAATGGGTGAGTGCGAGAGAATGATCCCCGCTGGTTCTTCTTGGCATTGCGGAGGATGTGTTCTGTCGCTGACTGTCTCTGCTGTTGATAGTTCATTCTAGTACTATGCCGCTGTCTTTGTGTGCTTTTCATGTTCTTGTCTCACGACTCACGACTGTGCGGTGCATTGCCAGCCTTGCCTTAGCCTTCCGGCCCACTCGTGCACGCTGAGGTACGACTGGTTCGACCGCCGCAACATGTACATCCAGGGAGACTCCAGGTGGCATTGCCCTTGATTCTTCTTCACCCTGGGCATCCCTGACCCCTCCACCCTGATCTGCTGCCCAAAACACAAACTCCCAGCGGAACCCGCAATGAAAGCTCGCAATCCAATGCAACAAAAATTTCAATCCAGCAGTCGTGAAACTTTATGCTGATGTACATCCCAACGCACATCTTCTATGCTGCAGCCCAAGATTTAGACCTAGGGCGCTCGTGCCAGTTGCGAGATCGTGGAAATGCCGAGCGTGTACATAGACAGCGAGGAGTTGCACAGGCTGGGTCAAAGCGAATTTGTGGCTTTAATTGGTTTTTTTGCATTGTAGGCTGCTCCTGAAGACTTTGTAGTATCAGTTGTACCATTGTATCATCTCAGGCTAGTCGGATAGCATTCATGAGTTGCAGGGTTCTCTCACCAGGACTTGATAGAACAACCCAGTTTGGAAGTTGTTTTTTCGTAAGCTGCCAGCTACCGGGAGCTCCTGCCCGATGTTTTTTCCAACGCCCGAAATCAGAAAAAAGAACTCAGGTTTTTGGCAGTGGGGGATTCAGAGCTTGGCAGAAAGGGGAGCATTCCTTTGGCGATGTCAGTTGGCGTCAGTATTGCAGGGTTTTGCTTCCCGGGACAGGAGTCGGGACGATGCCCCTTATCAGCGTTTGATTGTTTTCATCCCTTGACTGGACTGCATGAAGACAAGCCAAAATCCCAAGCCACTAGTCCCAAGCATCCAACCCTGAGCTCATAAAAGACGTTTGCTTAACTCCCTACCCGCAAAGCACGGGGCAGGTGGTGGCATGCTGAGCCTCAGCGTCGGGCCACGCCAACCCCTATGCCACAGCCCAGCCGGAAAGCTCAGACAACTTGGATCGAACAGGCGGTCTCATTGGCTTTTGTGGCTTTAGGAGTTCGGGGGGTTTGGGTTTTCAGGAGTACGTCAAGGGTGTTGTGGTCCCACGGCTTGGTATTCATACCTAAACTGCACTTCCGACCCTAAACTTGAAGCACCGTCAACCCAAGAAGCGCTGAAATTGCCCTTGTCTCCAACCTGTGCATTAAGCACTTTTGATCGGAAACATCGCTTGAAGCCACAAGCGAAACCACAGCCAAAGCAAATCTGCAACTGCCCTGAACCTGGTGGATCCTTGTGGTCATGAAACTCGTAAGCTCAGCTGCGGCACCTTCACCTGAACCAAAGAAGCAAATGCAACACAGCCGAAAGTGACAATCTCAAAATTAAAACGCAGGAAGGGGTTGTTTCTCTACCTCACTCATCAAATCTCTGCTGTGCATTATGCCTGAAAGATACGGCTAAGCGCCCAGTCGCCCAAGAAACACCTTCCGAAGCCCTGGCCACACAGGTGTGCAGCAAGTGATGCTTTGAGCCCCCCTGTGCATTCTTGACGATTCACGCATCTAGTGACTCTAGTGTCAGTGCAGGGCCTGCCACATTCATTCGGGCGACTTTGAAGTTGGACTTGTTTCGGGTTAGATGGTTCGGATTCGACCGAGTGTCTTGCTTCACGATTTTAATCAGATCAATGCGCCTCTGCCTCTGCCTGAGCCAGAGGGCAGGATGTGTCACCTCGATTCACAGGAGCATTCGCTGCGAAGCTTTGCAGAGGAGAGCAAAAAGTACACGCTCAAACAAATCATACAAATTTGAGTACCAGGACAACTAATAACTAATACTCGAAACGCTACTAGCGACCCTTGTTTTGGGCTCGATCGTCAGGGCATGATGCGTTGCATTATTGGCAGTAGCAGTTGTCGTTCACCCTAATTGTACCGCTCACCATTGCTACTCAATACTCCTTCGACTGCGACTGCGACTACCGACTACTCCTGCTCCGTCTACTCCTACTCCTACTCCTCTCCTCCCCCTCCTCCTCCTCCTCTCCCTCCTCCTGATCCCTCCTGATGCATCCTCCTCCTACTCGTCGTCGTCCTCCTCCTCCTCCCACTCCCACTCCTACCAGCCACCACCCGCCGCCGCCG